TGTTTTATAATATTAAAGTCAATTTAGTACAAGAGTTACTCATCCTTTCGTGCAGCGCGATCTTTTCTCTCGCAGCGCGTATCGTGAATATACCTATACATTCGACATTAAAAGGAAAAAAGGTGTCACTCTCCAAAGTTTTGTTAATGTAGAATTTTCTAAGTGGGAACGATAAACGGCAATTGTATTGTCTTTTACTGCGTTTATATTCGGATTATTAAATACAGACTTTTTACTCTCCACCGAGGAAAACCGTGTCTCGCGAGCGCGAGTCAAAATCTATCTGCCCTTCGAGGCCGCGTATCGTCTTGCTTCTCTCGATTTTCCACGACCTTATTTTTATTTTTAGGTGATTAGTCTATATATTATTTTGAAGACTTTCGCTTTTTATTCTATTCGGAAATCATAATCTACCTTCGTCATGCTAGACGCTTATTTATTTATTTATTATTTTGTGTCACCGGTCGCGATATCCTTAACACTCGTCGCTTGTCATATATTTTTATTTCGTGTACATTTTTTATTTTTTATATATTTTAATATTCTTGTGGCATTTATCGCCACAGTACCACCTCTTCTTCTAGTGGTTTCCTAATTGTACAATTATTTAATTATCGCGCCTATTTGTCGTTTCGAGTCGTCACTAGTCACCGCGTCAGTTTATACTTCGCGTGGAGAGATAAAACAAATAAATAAATATAAATAATAATAAAACTTAATAAAAATTAATAATAATTTAAATTTAAAATTTCTGTTTGTCCGACACGCCGCGTCACATCGTATATCGGTCCGGGAATCGGACCCTTCGACCGCTCCTCGTTCGTGTCTGTCGTCCTTCACACGCCGGCTGCGCCTCATGTGACTGCTCCGGGTCCAGTCTCGTCTCTCTGTCTCCAGGAGTCCCTGCCGTCGGCGACGCTTCGTCACTCTGTCTCTCTGTAATTAAATACGCTGGTTTTACGCGATCGATTGAAATTGTCTGTTCTTCTTTCCCGTGCATCCACGACAAAGTTCTCTTTTCTCCTCTGCGAACCACTGTGTAGGGCCCATCGTACGGCATCTGCATTGTGGTTTTCGGCCCGTCGTGCCGAACAAACACACTCTCCGTGGTTCCCAGCTGCTTGAACACGAACGGGCGTCGCTCTCCGTGCTGCGTGACCTCGACCGGCCGGACATCCTCGAAATGACGTCGCAATTCTTTAATGAAATTGCTAGCGTCTCTCTCCTCGCCGGACTGCTTATTTAGGAATTGTCCCGGCAGTCTGAGCGCTTCTCCATACACCAGCTCGGCCGCCGTCGCCTGCAGATCGTCCTTCCACGCCGCTCTTATGCCCATCAGAACTGTCGGCAGCACATCCGTCCACCGGTCCTTCTGATGGCACTTGATCGATGCTTTTAATTGGCGGTGCCATCGTTCTACCATGCCGTTGGCCTGGGGATGATAGGCAGTCGTCCTCAGGTGGTTAGATCCCAGCAATCCGCTCAACTCCTTGAAGAGGTGCGCCTCGAATTGCCGTCCCTGGTCGGTTGTTATTTCTTAACGGCACGCCGAATCTACTTATCCAGCCGTGGTAGAATGTCCTTGCGACTGTCTCTGCTTCCTGGTTCTCCATGGGGAACGCCTCCGGCCAGCGCGTGAATCGGTCGATGCAGGTCAAACAATATCTGTTGCCGTCTGATATCGGCATGACAATGATGTCCACGTGCACATGTTCGAATCTCTGGCTTGGTAGCTCGAAAATTCCTCTCGGCGATTTTACGTGTCGTGTAACTTTTGCTCGCTGGCACTCGATGCATGCGCGAGCCCAAGTGCTGCAATCCTTTTTTACTGACGGCCAGACGTAACGCTGTGTTACCAAAAGACCTTAAAGACACTACAAGTCTCCTTATCCTGCACCATCAAGTCCATTTTTTGGGTGTAGAACTACTAAATATAAAAAATTTTGAATTGCACGTAATATAACCTGAAAGGCGGCATCGCCACGAGTTTTGAGCCAAGAAAAAATAAAATCGGTCAAGCCGTTCTGGAGATACAAGCGGTCAAAAAGTGACGTTTTTCATGAAAAATGAAATAACGTCGTCTTCTTCTTCTTCTTCTTTTTCTTCTTCTTCTTCTTCTCTGTCCCGTTTCCTCTGACGTCATCAGGATTTATATATAATATAAATTCTTTTCCACCTTTCACTCACACCTCCCCAACTTCCCCCACCCCTTTCCCTCCCACATCACGCCCCACCCTTTCTAAAAATACCCCCCACCACCACTCCCACACCCCTCTTTCGCCTCTCTTTCACCCTCTTTTGTTCCTCTCTCACCTCTTTCGTTGGTCCTCTCTCACCCTCTTTCACCCTCTTTCGCGTCCCTCTTTCACCCTCTTTTGTTCCCTCTTTCAATCATCCTCTTTCGTCTTTTCGTTTCTTTCTCGTTCAACACAACACTCCACCCTCTTTCGCCCTCCCCTTTCACCCATTCAATCATACCCTCTTTCTCCTCTTCACCATCTTCGCGCCTCTTTCAATTCACCCTCTTCGTCCTCTCTCACCACCCTTCCAGTCACCCCTTTCATTCCCTCTCCCCCCCTTTCGTCCTTTCACTCTCTTCGTCCTCTTTCACCCTCTTTTCGTCCTCTTTCACCCTCTTTCGACCTCTCACCCTCTTTCGTCCCCTCTTTCACCCCTTTCGTCCTCCTCACCCTCTTTCGTCCTCTCTCACCCTCTTTCACCCTCTTTCGTCGTCCTTTTTCACCACTTTCAAAACCTCTTTCGTTCGTCCTCTTTCACCTATCTTTCGCCTCTTTCATCACACACCCTCTTCGTCGTCCTCTTTCGTCGTCCTCTTTCATTCACTCTCTTTTCACGTCCTCTTTCATCATTCATTCACCCTCTTTCGCCTCTTTCACCCTCTTTCTTTCGTCCTCGTCCCTCTCACCCTCTTTCATTCCCTCTCACCCTCTTTCGCCTCTCTCCGTCCTCTTTCACTCCTCTTTCGCCTTCGTCCTCTTCACCCCTCTTTATTCTTCTTATACCTCTTTTCATTCTCTTCACCCTCTTTCGTTTTCACCGTCCTCTTTCATTCAAAATTCCACCCTCTTTTCGTCCTCCATCTCCTCACCCTCTTTTCGTCGTCCTCTTTTCACACCCTCTTTCGTCCTCCTCACCCTCTTTCGTCTTCTCCTCACCCCTTTCAAATCCACCTCTTTCGTCCCTCTTTCACCCTTTTCATTCCCTCCCTCTCAATCCTCTCACCCTCTTTCTCCGTCCTCTTTTCATCACCTCTCTTTCCGTTCGTCCTCTCTCCCCTCTTTTTTATCTTTCTTACCTCTTTCACTTCAATCATTCACACACCCCTCTTTCGTCCTCTTTTCCCTTCTTTCACTCTCTTTCGTCTCTCTCCTCTCTCTTTCATTCTTCTCACCCTCTTTGCCCTCTCTCATCCTCTTTCGATTCGACCTCTTTCACACTCTTTCGTCCTCTCTCACCCTCTTTCGTCCTCTTTCCTCACCCTCCACCCTCTTTCGTTCTCTCTCACCTCTCTCTCCCACCCTCTTTCGACCTCTTTCGTCCTCTTTCACCCTCTTTCGTCCTCTCTCACCCTCTCTCACCTCTTTCACCCTCGTACGTCCTTTCTCACCCTCTTTCGTTCTCTTTCACCCTCTTTCGCCTATCTCGTCTTCTCTTACCCTCATTCGTCCTCTCTCACCCTATCTCCAAAAAATCATAAAAATGAAAAGGTCAAGCCATGTTCAAAAGAAGGTCCTCAAAAATTTAAACCTAGTCTGTACAATGAAAAATAATTACTCGTAATTCCAGAGTTCCAATTTGTTAATATCGAATAATGTATTTGTTTCAAGTAATGGCAGTAGAGTCAAATACATACCTACGTATATGCAGTTTTTGCTGTTAATTGTACTTGAACGAAAAAAATAATTAAATGATTTAAATATAGCACATTTTAAATCAAGAAACTTATATAATCGAACTCTGTTTAGGAAAAGGTAGAACATTTCATTTGCCTCTGCCTTTACAAGAAACATTGGATAAGGTATGTCCTCCGGAAGATCCTATAAATTTGAATCACGAGTTGCACATTCTCGTTCGAGGTATACCCAAGAAATCTAAAGTGGTTTGGGAAAATTTGGTAGATATTAATAAAATGTATAAGGCTTTACAATGGTTGAAAGAAAATAATCCTCATTACTCAAAAATTCGTCTTCCAGCGTCATCTGATGATCTATTAAAGGATAAGTTGCAGGAAACAGAATATAGGATTGTCGATGAGGAAAGCGACAATGACGAAATAAATGAGGTGGTTGAGGAATTACCAGCATTGAATTTGTACAATGTACAGCAAAACAAAAATAATAATGATCAAACCGTTTTAAAACGTACGGCTTTTCTCACACAAATCACTGAACATTCGGATATTAACGATCAGTATACAATATACCCAATACACGCGAAAAGAATCGATAACGAATCTGCATTGAAGCTTTATCAAATGGTGAAAATTGAAGATTTTCCAATGGATAATCGTTATAAATATCTGGATGTCATGTGTTTCCCTGATTTATATCCTGATGGTGTCAATGGACAACGAGAAGATAGAAACTTTGCATTGCCGGAATATTTATTTATTAGAACACGATTGATGTCGAAACATAGTAGATTCAGGTTGAATCTGCAGTATCTGTTCTTCCTTCTCAATGATGCTAACTACCGACAGTTGAAAAGTGGTATCTATTATACGATGATGGTTACTAACCCACGAGAGAGATACACTGCTGGTAGATACTTGAACGAATTGAAAGGTTACCAATTAGAATCGAATTTAATGAGTATTTTCGCAAAATTGAGAAATACGGATCAATTTTGGCGACAACCGTCCAATAATGTAAAATGCATGACTTTGCATTACGGTCCAGCGACGTGGTTTTTGACTTTGAGTCCTAGTGAATGGAAATGGTCCGATTTGGGTGAATATTTACGAGATATGAATCCCGATAAAGAGAAGTTAGGCATCAGCGAACTAATCGCATACGATCCTGTAAGTACTTCTAGATTCATGTGCATAAAATTCAAAGCCATGATTGATTTTATTTGTTCGTCCGATAATCCAATAGGAAAGGTTATTCATTACTTCTGGCGACTGGAATATCAACGTAGAAGTATCCAGCACATGCATTGTATGATTTGGATAAAAGATGCTCCAGTATTAGGAAAATCGCCGGATGAAGAAGTTGCTACGTTTATTAAAAATACGTAACGTGTGAAATTCCAGATGAAAATGTTTCGCCAACGTTGTACGATACGGTAATAAGTGATCAGAATCATAAACATAACTCGTATTGCATGCGTACGAAAAAAACGGAAACTAATATATACAGAAAGTGTCGGTTCGATTTTCCTCGGCCAGTTACTGAGAATTTCGTTTTAAGAGACGTTATCACTTCGATAGTCGGTAGAAAAAATTTACGCAGTAAGAGCAGATTGTACGATCTTCCTCGCAAGGAGTCGGAAAGGTTTATAAATGATTATAATCCGTCTATCAAATTAGCCTGGAAGGGAAATATGGACATACAATTTATTAGAGAAAAATCAGAGTTTTTAAACTCATATTTAACAAAATACACGACAAAGTCGGAAAAATGCAATACAGACTTTGAAGTGATAGATTCGAATAAGTCCTTGGCATCGAAACTGTGGAATTTTGCAATGCGTTCATTAAATAACAGAGAATGCGGTGCTTTAGAAGCTGCGGATACACTATTAGGGAATCCCTTGTACGGTACGGATAATGATACCATGGTCAAATGGATCGATGTTAATGAGGTGAGAAATAGAAAAGTTAAAACATTTAATGAAATTTAAGCTCTCGATGAAAATTCTACGAATATTTACTGTTCGTCACTCATCGATGATTACTATCCAAATAGACCTCAGGAATTAGAATCATTGAATTTGTACGATTTTGCCAGATTCTGGGAAATTACGAAACAGATGTCAAATAATGACGAAGTCAAGTGTTACAAACTGGCATCGGGTTTATTTTTAAAAAAACGAAAAAAGGGTTATTTAATTAACCATTATCGATTTAATATAAAAACTGAGCCCGAAAAATACTTTTACTCGCTGCTTCTTCTGTTCAAACCATGGAGAGATTTGAGTGAACTCAAAGGTACATTCGAGACTTACACGGATGCCTTTAAGAATTCAGAGTCTGTTTTAACGAAGGCAATGAAATATCACGAAAGGCTCGAAGAAATACAGAAAGCTTTTGAGAACGTTGCTGAATTAATCGAGAAGCGCGAAAATGATCTGAAAACAGCAGACAGAGACAAATCCGATGACGATGAACTGGATTGTAATCCGATAGAAGCTGACGACGCGATGAAAGATCTGGAAGATTTTGGTAAGATTGACGACCCG